CGTATTGAGTAATATGCACAATGGACTTTAAGCATCAAGCTACCGTCGGTTCTTCCGAAAATTATGATTCCACAAATTGATGCGACGACTTACAATTTCTCTGAATTTTTGTCAGCGTGGAGTACGATAGAATTAGTATTATTCGATTCGGTTGCGAACAAGTAATCGAATATCTCCTGTTTGGTATTTATTCGGTCTGATTATGAAGAAATTCAAAGAATACTGATGGTACAATAAACTATAACAAAATAAGACAGGTGTAAAAATAAGTTGTAATTTTGTATTTGGTGTAATTTTTCAAAACATAATTTTGTGACACATTGTATAGAGTTTTTATTCAGATTCAACCAATTTGTTAACTGCAGTCGCAAGTATTTAGTTTGGTATTTTTTCTTTGCATGGCTAATCTGGCAACGCTACCGAAGCAGAATGTTCGCCGAAATTGCAAGGAGCTCATATATAGCTTTCTCACGTGTACTTGGTAGGCGTTTGTTTCAACCGACTTGTGCGGCGTCAGCAAAACAGTTGTGCTCCAGTTATAGATTTATTCAAGCCCAAAGTTTACGGAAAAAATCTGAAAAAATGCCGATGTTTGAAACAATTGCTAAAGGCAACATAAACTCGCCGGACTATGCCCTTTATTTCAGTAAGTATGCAAAATTAAATAAAACAAAATATGCACTTTTGTGCAAAAGTGTAATTAGATGAAATAAACGAATACAATATACAAAATCTATTAAACTAAATTAATTATGCAACAAGTTGCCGCAACATAACAGCCGTTGCTTTATCAGTAAGTTCAAGCGGCCGGCTGTGACACTGAACAAGGTGACTCAAGCAGCGAACTATGGACTTGAAATTTTTCTTATTTCCTTTGATTAGAAGTAGATATATGGCCTAGTCAATAATATTTATATCAAGTAAGATATTTAATCACTTATCAATGGGCTGCACCTGCCTCTTTGTTGTTTACTTTAAATAATCAAACGATTGCGTGTCGCGTTATTAATTACATTTCTAGCAATTACTCTATTCTCCTCTTTCCACAATGGTTCGCTTTATATCTGATCTCCTCTTTCATCCATAGAAAACAACTGCGGCAATGTCATTTCGCCAATGCACGATATTCCGTTATACGCCAACGATGACAAGACCATCTATAACATGGTCGTGGAGGTGCCACGTTGGACAAACGCCAAGATGGAGGTAAAGTGTCTCAACTATAATTGATCGAAAAATCATCATTATCAGGAATTTGATAAACACATAAATCGCGTGTTGCTTTATTTATATTGCAGATTAGCTTGAAAACGCCTATGAATCCCATTAAGCAGGACATTAAGAAGGGTAAACTGCGTTTTGTCGCTAATTGCTTTCCACACAAAGGCTACATTTGGAACTATGGCGCTCTGCCACAGACCTGGGAGAATCCCAACCACATTGAACCCTCCACTGGCTGCAAGGGTGACAATGATCCCATCGATGTTATCGAAATCGGCTATCGTGTGGCCAAACGCGGCGAAGTGCTGCAAGTTAAGGTCCTCGGTGCAATTGCACTGATCGATGAGGGCGAAACCGATTGGAAGATCATTGCAATCGATGTGAAGGATCCGTTGGCATCGAAGCTCAACGATGTGTCCGATATAGATCAATATTTCCCGGGTCTATTGCGCGCCACCGTTGAGTGGTTTAAGGTAACGTAAATATATATAAATACATATATTTTATAATATATATTATAAATACATATCTTTATATTTATATGTATTATAGTAATGTTATCGCCCTTAACTTTGTTTAGATCTACAAAATACCCGATGGCAAGCCAGAGAATCAATTTGCATTCAATGGTGATGCAAAGAACTCGGACTTTGCCACCTCGATCATTGCAGAGACACACAAGTTCTGGCAATCATTGATCAATCAATCCAATGTGGGCGCACCCGATATCGCCTGGTTTGTTTTTATCTACTAGTCTATATAACATTTACTAATGCATATATATTTGCAGTCAAAACATTACCAATCGCAATTCCGAATTCGTCATTGGCAAGGAAGAATCATTGAAGATTCTTCAAGAGGCTCCCGATGGAGGGGAAGTGGAGGAGGTACTTGATACAGGTAAGGTTTTCTATGTACGCGCTAAGCTTTAACACTCTCCAAAAAACAAACCTTCCCCCCCCCGCACACAAATTGGATACATAACTCCAAAAATACTGCATGCGCTTTACTAATCAATGCCATAAAAATACCAAAAATATACGTTTAAAGAAAATACCGCATTGAACTTATTAAGATGTGATGTTTTGTATGTAAATATGATAACGACTTTTTGTAATTGGCTCTGGGTTTTGTTCTATTTATTATGCGGATTGTATATACATCAAATAAACTATATAATGTATATATCTTTTATATAAAACTGTTCAATCTTCAATATTCTCTCTTGTTTTGCAGTCGACACTTGGCATTTCATACATCTCAAGTAAATTGCAGAATTATCCAAGAATTAAAATCGAAATGATGTAAAACTTTGATATTGGAAAGCCTCACAAATGAATACAGATATTTATATAAAAATGTTGATTAAAAAACACACCCAAATATATATGGAAATGAAAGCAAAACTTTGAAATACTCTCTCCACTTGAAATATACAGTTGTTTTTATTTATATTTTACGACTAGATCCAAACAAGTTTAAATTAATTAGGGTTACATTATAATGTAATATCGAAATTTGCTGTATGGTATATGGGTGTTTGTGTGTATGTGTGTGTGTGTAGATTTTTAATGAATTAATTTTCTTCGCGAAATTAAACGTAACAAATTAAATTAAATTACTTAAATGATAGACAAAAATTTACAAAATATATAGTTAATATAATATATATATATGTATGTGTATGTATATTGAAAAAAAAAAACAGAGTTCATTTAAATTTATTTACATCAGACATTGAATTTACTGTTTTAGTTTTGTCCTTTGCTTGTGCAACTAAATAGAAAATTTAAAATACATATACATATACATATATAAACGTTATAAACTAAACTTAAAACCGGGGGCCCTACGACGAAAAACAATTGTACAAAATAAGGGTTTACCTAAAACGTAGCCAACCGAAAAGAACTATGCGAAGAAAACTGTTGACACTCGTCATATTATAATTGATTATATTTATTTATGAGTTATATATTATATATTTATATATAATATATATATATATATATATATATATATTTTGTTTTTTTTTTTTTTTTTTGTATATATATAATTCGTTTTTTGTTTACTTAAATATAATTCGCGTATTCGCTGTGATAATTTTTAGACGATTGTTATATATGTTGCTGTGATCTTTCTGTATGTATGTGTGTGTGCCCTGTATGTGGGTGTATGAAAGTGTGTGTAAGTAGCATAATATTTAAATATGTAGTATAGTATATAGGTAGTAGTCGTAATATGCGTTCAGCTATAGCTGTACTCTTCACGTATTGCCCGTCCGTCTCGTTTCGTTTCATTCCGTTTTGTTTCGCTCCGTCCACACTTTACTTGCGTCCCAGGGTATCGCGCCATTCGTTATATTTGTCCATATCCTCGTGCAGCTGCAGCGCCTCAACGCAGGCATTGAAGAACGGCGATCCGAAGCAGTCTTGCCTGTATATATATAAATAGGTTTAGCATTAGTTGACGAACTCTATAGGGGTTTTTAAGGCTTTTTTGCTCGCACATTCAAATGGAGCCAAAATGCAAAAAGTTTTGTGTTCAAAAATTCGTTTTTGTTGGCCAGTGCAATCAGTGAAAAAATGCAAAAATATTGCAACCTGCACATTCACAAAAAACGGGGCACCAAAAACCAAAATTGTAAACAAAAAAGTAAATAAATATAAAGTGAAACTAAAAAATAACCTACCACAAAATAAAAACGGTAAGCATGCGTTTTTAGTCGCGTCGGAAACGCGCCAAATATTGACGACAGCTGCGCGCTGCACTTGTTGCTCTCGTTCTCTCTCACACTCGCTCCCTTGGCGCTTAGCTCTTTGCTTTTCATGCGCTCTCTCGTTGCTATAATTTTTTTGCATTTGTTTTATTGTTGCGCTCTCCCTTGGTCAGTGCCGCACTCTAATTTTCATTTATCACAATTTTGGATGCCCTCAAATAGCCAGCGATTATTTGTTGTTCATTATTTTTAACATAATAATTAATAATTGAATTTTTTCTGCATTTGTAATGCATTTTGTTTTTGTTCGTTTTTTGCGGGATTTTTACCGAAGGTTTTTTTTTTTTTTTTTTTTTTGCTTGTGTTTTGCACAAATTGCGTTCTAGACTAAAATATTTATCGTGAATATCTATATATGTATATATATTTTTTTTTTGTGTGTATGTGTTTTTGCCAACAAATTTTACGCTAATTATGGTTTAAATCTTTACAAAATACCACAAAAAAATTTAATACATTTGCAAAATACTTTCGGTCTAGGTGCTGCGCTTGTGTTAGTATGCGTGTGTGTGTTTTTGGATGTGAGTGATGAATTTCATCTTTGCCCTTTTGATGTAAATGCTGTCTGGAATACGCGATGTTTAGATTATTTTTGATTTTTTTTTTGTTTTGTTTAATACAATAGAAAAAAATAATAATTATACATTAAATAAGTATATATATATATAAATATATTAAAAACAATGGATCTTTTATTTTACATACATAACGCAATAATAAACAAGCTATGAATACTTAAAAAATAAATACTTCTTCGGCAAAACGGGGTTCGCTGTCCTAAAATTCTTAAAACTCTTCCTCTTCCTACTCAATTTACCCCCTCCCTTTCCAACATACATATATCCATGCATACATATGTGTACGTGTACTTCAGTGTTTGCTCACTTCACAGTGTACCTACACTGTGTGCCCGACGCACATACATATATATATATATAGATATATGCATTTAGCCCCGCCCCCTCGTCCCATGTCCCTCGCTTACAACAAACGCATAACGTTTCAATAAATTAATTAAAATTATTCGTTTTTTTTTAAACACATACATATATAGTAAAAAAAAAGCACTGTAAAGCATATACAGTAATAAATAAGTACGAATTAAATTTGGGCGTTAAATATTTAATTTGTTGTTCTGTTTTGTTGTATGTAGTTTTATTGTTGTTGCTGCTGCTGATGCTGCTTCTGCTGCTACTGCTGCTGCTTCAGAGTTACTTCGGATGTGATCGTTCCAATACCAGTTCCAGTTCCATTACGAACTGGTATCATTTGGATTCTAACTTCCATTACTCTGCGAGAGTGTGTGAGTGTGTTCGAGCGCTTAACTGCGAATGGGTGGATGTGTGTATGTGTGTTTGTGTGTGAGAGTGTTTCGCTGGTGGTGATTTTCGCTTCTGTTGGTGGTGTTGGTATTGTTGTTGTAGTTGTTGGTGGTGGTGGTGGTTCAAAAGCCAACCACTTAGAGGAGTTATGTAGCTGGACCAGGCGCCATGTTGAATGATATGGGCGAACCATTAACTACTTTTATAAAATGTTGTAAATTTGTAATCTCTTCTGTGGGTGTTAGAAGGACTTTCACGCATTCGCCAAACCATTTCGAATCAAAGCAGTCTTTCCTAAAAAAGCACACAAAAACAAATCAACAAAAATAAGATAACCAAATAAACAAAAATCAAGAGTATTAATAATAATGTAACCAAAAGGAACATATATGAAAATCAAGTTGAAATGAAAATGAAAATTGAAAGGCAGCTAGAAAGCGAAGCATTTCGGTTTAGTATTTGAATACAACGGGCTTGTGAAAGGGATAGGGCGAGCCATTGATAACTTTTAGATATTGCTGCAGCTGTTCAATCTCTTCATCATCGATCAGCAGCACCTTAAGGCATTCTCCGAAGGTCTGATGGGCGAAACAATTGGCCCTGCAGGCAAATAGATAAACAAGAAGATACAGCTAGCATACAGATGGATAGACAGATAGATAGTTAGTTAAGGTAGAAAAGTCAGCGAAGAGAAAACAAAGGAAAGCGGAAAGCAAAATAGAAAACAGCTAGATATTTGTTTTTCTGAAATAAAAAATATTATTTTATATATACATGTGTGGGTCGTAATATTTCCTCAGTACTTAAAAAACCATGTCAGGGTTAGATTTCAAGCTAAAAAGTATTTTCTGTCTCGTTTTAATATTATTTTGGCGCAGCGAATTGCCTTGAACTGCTTTCAAATTGTTGTTCGAGGTTCGAGGACGTTTGCTCAAGGAAGTTGAAATGGAATGAAATTGAATTTGGGTTGGGCCTAAGGTTATATTAATGTTCTGCAAACTGAAAGTGAAATGAAATAGAAATGGAAATGGAACATGGGTAGCCATGATGTAATCTGCAAGAAGTCCAAGCAGAATTAAATGGAATAGGGGTATGATAATGCTAACGTTGACATTGAAATGAAATGGAAAATGGATTATAGTAACAGTTTGAGTCTTTGAAGTAAAATTTATCGAAGAGCAATAAGTAGGATACTCTAGTCTAATGGAATCAGGATATGTTAATGCTGGAATGAAATGTAATGGACTGGGAATTGAACTCTTCAATGCTAAACTTACGCTTTATTAAAGTGGAAAGTGGAATGAAATGGAATTGAAACTACAGATATGCTTACTCGATCGCTAGACAAGTTTCATTTTGATTAGTTTGTATTACTTAGCTAGCTGTTGATTAAACTTACTTGCATAGTCGATGTATACTCGTCTCACGGAAAAGTTGATAACAATCCTCACATATGCGATCCAGGCGAAAGAACATGGTCTTGTTGAAGATGCCCTTGCATTCCAGGTCGAAGAAATTGCTGCGCTTCGACAAATTGTGATTATGTGGCAACGCTGTGAGTATGGGTATCAAAACAAGAAACAGCACCACCGAGATCTTTATGTTGCGGGAACACATCTGCAAAGAAACAAGAAAAATATATTAGTAAAATGTCGAATAAATGTCAGCGTTAAGTCAATTAACAAAATTCGCCATCTGTGCTTGATTTAATAAAATGAATTCTTCTACAAATTCTACCAAGAATATCAAATTAAAACCGCTTTGCTTTAGTATTTTCTGGTATACAAAAAAAGTCGTTTTTATTTCGCTCAGTGCTTTTGATTATGCTTAAGTAGTTGAGTACCGGAAATAGCTTAAAAATAGCACGATTTACTGTCTGGCCGAGAGCTATTTATAGAGTGAGTCGTTACAATTAAGTTCTGCTTTAGCTGGCTGCTGCCTTAAACCGCTTACTGGGTAAATAGATATGGGCCAAGTAGAACCTTGAAACCGCAAAAAAGGCCCGACAGGCCAGTCACTAACTCAGCGAGTGCGAGCGAGACCGTCAGAGGGAGGGAGGCAGGTAGAATGGGAGGGGGAAGCAACCTCAAGGCAAAGTGCGAGTACTTGTGGTACGTCTATCTATAAATAGATCCTGTCTGCAACTGCAACTGCAAACTGCGAGCTAAAAATAAAATTGCATTTCGTGTTGATCTTGCTTTATCTGGCTGCCCATCTGCATTCGGCATCTTCATAAAGGTGTCTACAGACATGCCTCTCTTTCTCTCTCTCTCTCTCTCTCTGTCGCTCTCGCTCTATAAATAAACCGCGCGCGCAATTTCAATGTTTATTGCATTATTTGCAAATCTGTCTGTCGACTTGGCTAATTTACGAGTACAACTGGGCTCAAAGGCGAGCCGCAATCCCACAACAAATCGCATGGTCACACTTAAACACACACAGACACAAACGCATGCAGCTTAGTACGCACATATGTATGTTTGTGTGTGCATGAGTGTGTTGTTTGTGTGCGCAGACAGGCCCCCAAAATAATAATAAAAATAAATTAAATGAATAATAAAATTCGTTTGTTGTTGCTGTATTTGCATATTTTTTATCAATTTGCGTGGTCCGCTTTAGTTTCAATTACGTTCGGCGTCGACATACATTCCAAACTATTGAATAATTTGATTAAAATTGTAAATTTTTCCATTGCTGCTTTGCTTCTGCATGTGCCAATTGGCAAAAAAAAAAATATATATATATATATATAAATAAAACAGCAACAACAATGCAGAAAAATGGCGTGTGTGAAAATTTCGCGTGCTGCCTGCTTATGTGTGTGTGTGTGTTTGTGAAAATGAATGAAAATTCAAAGCAGACACAGCGTCGCTGTTCCGAACAACAACAATAAAAAACATGTGAACAATTTGTTGAAATATTTCTTTCGAATTTTCGTCTTTTCGGTTCTCTATGAGCGCTTCGCTTAGCACCTCCCGCGTCGTTAGCGTCAATCGCTGCTTCGTGCCATATACTCAATGAGATCTATACAAAACTGTGCTTGTGTGTGTGTGTGTGAGAGTTTATATAAATTGATTTTTTATTGGCTTGTTGATGCCTTCAATTAACTTGAGCGCATTTTTGTTGTCGTAGCTTTTGATTTATGGCCAATGGGCTTGGCTGTAAAGTAAGAAAAAGTTCATCAATCAGTTTTTGGCAAATGTTGCTGTTGTTGTTGGTATGAGCTCAGTGCGCAACTCAACAGTTGGCCAAACCAAAAACATTATAGTCCATTATAGTATATACATCTATATAGTATATTATTTGCTGGCTTTATTTAGATACGTATATACTGTAATTAGCTAGCAGCTGCCGAGCGCGACACGTGAGTGCCGCTAAAATACTAAATTAAATACAAATAACTAATTTGACGTAACACACCAAAGATTGCGCAGAGTGTTTGTCAGAAAAGTGCAAAATTTTAATACTGGCGCCACTGGAACAGCTGAACGCGCAAGATATATGGTATATTTTGATTTTTTATTTTCCCTTTTTTTTACTTGTATGACGCGTATAGTTAACTTTGCCAAAGAGAGTTAACAGGAGCAGCTGTTACGCTGTTACACTGTCTCGCATTACCCACAGCGACGACCTCTGCGCAGTGTCAGACCGCTAATTGGATTCGAATTGCACGATTTATGGTCATCGAGCAGGCGAAGAGTTTCGAGAACGAGTTCAAATTCGAGTTCGAGTGTCGCTGCATTTATTTTTAAACTGGCACTGCCGGCCGCATAAATTGCATAATCGATATAAAAAATGAGACGGAGATTGAGAGAGTGAGAGAGAGAGCAACCGCTGTAGCTGTGTTAAGAGTTAACAGCGGCTGCTGGCGTCATCCAGAGCCTGGAAACGATTTTGTGGAATATGTGGAACGATTGATCGATGGATCCATTCGATTTATCGTCAACCCCATCAAAAGCATGTGCTGGCAATTTGTTTGCATTGTGCTTTGATTAGCTGCCAATTGATTTTATTTGTCGGTCTGCCGCTTTGTATCAATTTAAATAACTGTCAGTCTGTCATACATACAAGTAGACGCATTATCAAGCTAAATAAAAAGCTATATGACAGGCACACACACACACACACAGCTATAACTGAATCATTGGCGCGAGTCGCGCATGCCACGCAATTTGCCATGTTTCAGCTCAAGTCCGTCGTTTTGCCTGATTGTAAACTATTCAACTTTGATTTTGATTGCTTTTTGCGTATATGTATATGTGTGTTTGTGTGTCTGTGCCTGCTGCCAGGCGACATTGAATGAAGTCATGAGCCAAAAATAATGACAAACAATTATAACGAAATCTTTTTGTATTCTTTTGTGCGCAATAGTTTTAAAAGAATTTCACACACACGACAAGAATTATTATTTATATGTATATACATGGCGTTAAATAGATATTTAAACTAAATGTCTACCTTATCAGCAGGCGCCTAAATTTAGGCTGGAATGCGAGCTGTTATCTTAACCACCACCTGTAATCATATGGCTTTAACAGTGCAAAGCTGCGATCGAAAATCAAGCGCGTGCATAGTAACATGCAGCTTGCATATATGTATGTATATACCATATAAATACATATACATACATATATATGAATGTATGTACCATAACTTAACGCTTGGCTACGCAAGCATAGCAAAACATGCGCATTTATTTGCGCCGTTAAGCTACAGTTTATCATTCTCTTTTAAAATCCCAAAATCTCTTTAAGCCTAACATTCTCTATTAAATTCAAATCCCGAAACTCTTTAAGGCTATTTAGCATTATGCATAGTCCTAACATTGTTAACATTTGCGCACTGTTAAGTTGCCCGACTGTTAAGTATACCCGCGGCATATCTTAATAATAAATATGTGAATGTTTGTGATGCTACTGGAAACTAACAACTGTTAAAGCTACCCACTTTAGTTGTTAAAACAGCTCTCGAGACTGCATGGTACCATGGCCACTCACTACAAGCAACAACAGCAACATAAACACGACTTGGCGAGACTGCTTGGTACCAAATAAACTGGCACAGCGATGGTTGGCCGTTGGCTCCACTGTTGTTGTTGGTGGCGGTGGTGGTGATGTTGCTGCTGCTGCTGCTGCTGTTGGCCTGTTGCGCTTGCGTTAAACGGTGCTGTTAATTTACTAGACATGCGGCATTTGCATTTCGTTGCAACTGGATACCGCTTGTAGCCAGCGCATTTTAATATGCAATTTAATATGCATTAAATTCTGTGTGGCATCAAATTAATAGCGCAGCTCAGCCGCAGCAGCAACAGCAGCAGCTCAGCAGAGGCAAAATGGCGGCAGGTGCTGTAAATGTTCCACGCTCGTTTAACAGCACTGACCATAGGATGCATGTATGTGTGTGTGTCTATGTATGTGTGTATTAATTTCGCTCACTTTGGCTATCGCCTGCTGCTTTTGATGCGCCTTTCTATGGCTTCCAGCTGCGCTGTCGACGTCGCCGCTGGCGTCGCTGTGCCGTTCAAGCTGCATGATGCGCATCAATTGGCTGCTGAACTGTTATTGTTGTTGTCGTTTGTTGATCTGTTTGGATTGATCGTGTGGCTCGTGTGCGCGCGTATTGTATCCAATTAGTATTTATTAAGATTAATAGTTGCACGTTTCGTAATAGATCGTAAAAAAATTTATGTGTGTTATAACTGGTAATTTAAATAACAACACACATATGCATAACCGCCTATATGAGTATAAGTATTTTTTTTTTTTTATCAAGTTGTTTGCTTTTTCACTTCTTTGCTAACGTCAACACGAAATGTTGTTTGAAGAGTGTTGAAAATCATCAAGCAAATAGCAACGAAATTTCTACAACAACAGCAACAATGTTTGAGTAGTGCTAGTGTTAGCTAATGCCAAACAAAACACCCGCGCGCGCAATCAACGTTTGTTGCCAACAAAAATAACACTGAAGATCGCAAAACTGTTGAGGTTGCCAGACAACAAATGCTGCGACCGCTGCTTTGGCCTGCTGCTGCTGCTGCTGTTGCTGCTGTTGTCTTTTTCTTATCAGCGCACACACACTCACATGCACTCATACATTTTTGTGAGAGGCAGCGACGACAGCGAGTCTGGCGCGAAGGCAGCGCAGCCAACCGAACCGAAGCGAAGCAAAGCGTAGCCAACCTGCTCGCCCGCCCGCCCGCCTTCCCCTCTGTGTGTGTGTGTGTGCGTAATCGAGTACATCTACACACACACACACACACACACAGGCGAACGCACAGTATTGCACCTATTTTAGATGCAACGTGGTATGGCTAGGCGTATACGTGATATGCATAATAAAATCACGCTTATCATTTGAGTCAAGCCAACTCAAACCAAGCCAAGCCAAGCCGCATTCAAACTTATACTTTTATTTATTATTATTACTATCGTTATTTATTATTGTTCTGTTGTGTCCTGTTTTTAACGTTGCCTATTAGTTTGTCAATTATGTGAATTCATTAAATAAGCCACAAAGATTTTTCGAAAATGAAAGAAGTCTATGTATATTCTTATAGTTCACTAAAAAAAAAAATGAATGTAATTTTAATAAATAAATACGATACATTACTGTCAATA